TGCATAGTTCAGAATAGCTATAATTGTACCAGATGGTTGCATTCAGTTAAGTTGGACTAGACTGTAATACAAACCGTTCAGTTTGTCAACAATAAAACTGACTGAAATGAGAGAAAGACTGAGTGTGAGACTTTGATATTAGATCAAATGAATAGTTGTAAAGTTTACCTTTATGTAAAGAATCTGAATATCGCAAAATATTTTTAAAAAATTGCAATAATATCGTATTGTGCGTTAAGTATTGTGATAATATCGTATCGTGGGATGTATGGTGATTCCCACCCCTATCTTTTATGCTATGACTTTACTCTTCTCTTTGGCTGGCTGACACCAGCAACAGCTCAAGGAAGAGTAACCCACAGACCGGTTGTACCACATAATTTGTACACTGCCTCCATCAACAACATGCAGGTAGAAAGTGGTCTGCAGCTGGTTTAAAATAGAAATAAGTTGTTTCCAGGGTGTGTGTGTATTTTATATTTGTGGTATACAAAATAAATTGCACAAAGAATAGTCTGCAATGAAAAAAGTAATTTCCTGTGATATCACAAATTGATACTTACAGTACAGAACAAGGGAATACTTGAGATTTAAATCCAGGATTTTTCTTGTATTTAAAAATATTTGGTGGTCAACCATGAGATTTTTAACATACATTTTTGTTGAGAACATAACAAAAAATACTCAGGCTTTTGTTTATTGAGGTAAGACAGACTCAAGGCCAGCCTGCCCATGAGGAAACATGAAACCAGACGGACCAGACTATGTGGTAACAGCAGATGAAGCTTCAAATAATGACAAAGATTTCTCAGTAATAAATTGATTGTGTTGTTGTATTGGATATAAAAAATACACATCTAAGTAAAGTTCAAGTGTGGGAAATGATGGATGTAATTAAGTGTTAGCAGTAACAGTGAAGGTGATGGCGGTACTTCTCTGATTGTAACTATAATAATATGTTCGTAATAGGTAATAGTAAAAGTAAAGTGGATGCAAAAAGAGATGAAGATAATGGTGAAACACTTAATCTTAAGACTTTAGAATATCCAGAACAAAACATCCTTATTATCGTCATAAGGATGTTTACATCATCCCAGAATATAAAAAAGGCAAATGCAGTTGAACAGGACAGGTAATTTGTACTTGTACTGAGTAAATGTATTTATATACATTCAACCTCTGGTTAGCATTATAACTTGTTAAAATCTTTTAAATGAAAAAAGATGTAATCTGTGACCTGAAGTAATGCCCTGTCATTACTAACAGTAAATATATTGTCTAGGGTATGCAATAGGTGTACCTTTTTACTCTCTCTCACTCATTTTTGTCATGCAGGGCAAAAGCAATACTTTTGTGTCATTCTCTC